GAAAAAAGCCTAATTTAATCACAGATCCTCGATATACACTCGATATGAGTCCTGGAGATAAAAACTTTACGCTAACAGTCGAGTTAGCGCGTTATTGCTCTAAAAGGTGCCTTAAATTAACACTGAATGTAGTTTGGCGCGCTTTGAGTTAGAAATCCCGAGAAGGAACTGGAGTCAAAGGTTCGTGTTTTACAGTGTATGTGACGTGATTCTGCGACTGTAAATTCGGCAGCAGAACAGTGGACATTGAAATCAAGCTGAGTGTGTGAAATACTAACAGATGCAACATCGTTTAACATTAGAAAATTTTTAACTTGGCCGAGTTTTTTGAAAGTTCATTTTGGCCGTCGCGTGCTTAATATGTTAATTAATTTTGGCACACTTGTTTTCGTTGTATCTTTAACAATTATTCCTCGAGCCCGAATGGGCTCTGAGTCAATAGCCCATGAGGTAGAAGGCCGAATGGGCTATTGACTCAGAGGCCATGAGGGCGAGAGGAATAATTGTTTTAGTAAAATCCAACTAGTTGGTCAAAAATATAGAGACAAAACAACTTTCGCTAGCAAAACGTGATTCAGCCGCCATTGTTTTGGGTTTCAAAGCCGACGCTTTTCGCTACTAGTGGGCTATAACATGTAGCCTAGTAGCAGCTTGACCAGTCAGAACGCAGCATTGATAATAGACCACTAGTTGGATTTTACTTAAAATTACTATACGATCTACACTTTTTTGAAGTCCGTCAGTACCACTCTCCTCTTCCTCCTCCTCCTCCTCCTCCTTCTTCTCCGAAGTGCAAAAATTACAGATGGACATCTGAAACCTGCGCACAAGTTCCTCTCTTGAGGCGGCTCCTTATCTGGATACTCGAATGCAAAATAAACTGATTTTCTGTTTTTTTACTGAAATAAAAATCCACACACAATGTGGATATCCCCAGTCGGCGCGGTTACGAGTCCCGCCGAGTTGCTGCCTTGTTGCTGTCAAGCTGAATAATTCATTTTCCTTTCTTTTTTTCATAAAGAGTCCATGCAATCTGAAGATTTCCCGTTCCTCGTTCGTTATAGTTCCATTTTCCGATTCACCGAGCAGAAAGTCCATGACATTAGATAAATAGCAATATGCAGGTTTGAATAGATTTTGTAAGTACTCCGGGGTTCGTTTATTTAAAATTTTAAACATTACATTCGCTTGTTTTTTCCTTCCGGTTTTGAGGAATTTATCAGCTAATTCGTTGTCGAGACCATCCCAAGCAGGGCAGCAATAGTCGAAATGCAGTTCGATAAGAGCTCTATACCAGGGACCGCGGAGCAAGGTGAAAAGTAGGAGGGCTGACAATTGAAAATGATTTTTTCATATTGAAAATCGAAAAAAGGAATAAAATCATAGTATTTTGATTTGTTTCTGTCGCGTGACTTTGCATACTTTATCCAGTATTTGTTGCTCTTTAGAGCGGTTTTCACTTGACTGTCGAAAGTAATTGAGGAATTGGTTTGGTTTTGGTTTTACTACGCCCTTTGGTTGGCTAGTGTATTTACTTTGGTTTTGGTTTTACGACAGTCAAGTGAAAACCGCTCTATAGGTCGGCATTAGTGAAGATACCGAAATTCTTCATACGATTTTCATTCCGTCCAGCAAATGTGTATGCTAAATTACAGGATTGCTGACAATAAGTAGAATATTATAAATAGAATAAATATATAACCCATCACCAAAATTCAATTACATTTAACGAATATTAGTCAGAAACAACTCGCACTTCCAAAAAATGAAACTTTTAACAATATATTGAAATGTTTACTGGTCAAACTCAAACTCAACATTTTCACTGCAAGTAGTTGTCGTCTTTTCTGCAGAGCTTACAGACTTTGACGAAGTCCCAGCTAAACGACCAACATACATGGTCAGTTCAGATCGCAATGCAAGAAAAGACGCGATTACAATTTTAGTATAGAAAATACTACACTGAAGTGATCTGAAAAATTTCTAACTATGGCCGTTCACTGTTCAAGTAATGTAATTCTTCTTGCCATCGAATATTTCATTGATTCGAAAGGAGAAAGACAAAATATAAAACTTTTATCAACTTAAAACAACTACTCACCTTCGATTGGCTTGAAAAAGCTAGTAATTTTCTTCATTTCGTCTGATAAAACTGATAAAAAACTCTGCCGGAGCTGGAAGTACAAAACACGCTGCCCAACGAAGCGAAGGGGTGGCCAAGGCATGGCGTTTGATCAAGGGGCAAGTCGTCCCCAGGGCACAATTACCGCGAAAAGCACAAGAGCCCCACAAAATGCCTGGCGTTTGAAATTAAAGAAAATACAGAGAGTATAGCGGAATATAGACGGAAAAAACTTGTTTCAAGTCTTTTTTTTTATTTTAATTATTTTTCTTTTCAGCGCAAAAAGTGGGGGCGGGGGCGCAAAAAAGTGGTGGGGCCGCGGCCCTACCAGCCCCTCCCCCTACGCGGTCCCTGTATACAGCAGTAACTTCTAGCTTTTCGAGTAATTGTTGGACTTTATTAGCACCACAACTTTTAAAAGAGAACAGGTCTTGTCAGTTGGGATAAAATAGTGTTCCGGTTCAATATAAACACGAGGTATGCCTCTTGCCAAGTTATGTCTAACATTTGCGAAATGACAGTGGCGTCAGCCATTTCAGAAGCAGAGCTTATTTTACAACTTCCTATTTCGATATCAGCGATAACTTTATTCTTGGGTTGACAAGAGTTCAGTTCATTGATTAGTTGCCATGTTTTATGGGGATCCTTTTTATTAGTAGTGAGATTGTCATTAAAATATTTGCGTTTAGCATATTTGATGGTATTGTTCGGCACTTCATTTCTCGCAGCCCAATAAGACTGGTCTTTCTTTCGCTCCGCTCTATTTTTTAAAGGTCTCTTTTACGCATTTTGCGTATTAACTCACAGGTAATCCAGGGAGACTGGCTGATTTACAGTAAACATTGTGGTAAACTGATTTTCAGGGAAACTTACAGACATTTTTCATCATGTTCTTTCTGGATATGTACAGCTATCCCATAATTTCACAAATTTAGTTTTTCTGACGTCATCACTTCTCTTCTCCATTGCTGGTTTACAGCAAACGTCACGGCGGCCACAATTGGGAACAAGAAAAAAGTGTTTCCTCCTTCGATGGAAACTTAACTTTTTTTCCCGCAAATTGTGCCATTTTTTCTTTGTTTATTTTTAATATCCACTAGCATTGGCGCGTTGTCAGTTGGTTGAAAACCATCATTACTCCTTACTCCAGTTTTTCTGAGTGGGCCAAATCCCCTGGATAAGTCTTCATAACCAGCTAGCGTTGACTAAATTTAGAAGACGTTTACGATATCCAACAATTGACGTCAATAGTTCAGGCTATCCCCAGTAAAAGGAACGGCAACCGGGAAGCCCTGGGGAAGAAGTTGTGTTAGCTAAGTTGTTTTGGTAAACTGAAGAAAATGGCAAAAAATTTCACGTTTTGCGAAGACGAAAGTAGCAAAACTACTTCCTAAAAAACATAGCAACAACAGCACAGATACAACTCGACGGGTGAAAATTGTCACCTTATTGGTTCTAATCTTGCGATTTTGGCGAGACAATGTTTCGCGGGGTTGTGTTTTCGCGATTTCAACTGAAAAATATGAAAAAGGGGCATTAAATCTGGCCATTTTAAGCGTTTCAATATCATTGTTTTTCAAAACGTCTGAACTCTTTAAAATTTCTAGATAAACTGGAACAGCCAAAGTGTAAAATCTTGCAAAAAACGTTATCCAGCTCACCAATGAAGAGACAAAATGCAACTTACTAGAAAAACCAGTTATCAATTCAGTTGTGCATTTAGTCTGCTACACAGCCGTTTTTAGAGTCGTCACGCAGCGCTGCGTGACGACACTAAAAACGGCTGTGTAGCAGACTATTGTGCATTTGTCGGTACAAATCCTCATGTACATGTTGTTGCTATTACATGTTAATAATTTTTTCTGTGATTTGAATTTTCTATATGGTTATTGAATTTTGCGTGTTAAAATTTCGCGAGGATTTTTATTAGCGGGTCTTTTTGAAATTTCGCGAGTTTTTTACAATGGCGAAAAACGCGTGAAATTAAAGTCCCGCGAAATTATGTACCAATAAGGTATTTAAAGAATATCTGCTAGCTAAACATCTCTTTTTGTCCTGAATCTGCCAAGGAAAAGGCAAAAGAAAATGGGGGGAACATAATATTGATCGAGACAAGCATGTATTTAAAGTAAATATTATTTTGAAAAACAAATAATAAAACAATTATTGAATTCGACTTTCGTATGATCTGAAGGATCATATAATGTAGATTTTCGAAACTCAGCCTCGTTCAATAATTGCTAATTATTCGCTTTCGTTTGAAAGGGCAGTCTGATTACACTCCAAAAAAAGGCTGGTGTCAATGACTAAACTTTTATTGAGACCCAATATATTAAAGCTCAAACAATACGATACCATGCACATTGTATACAAAATTTTTAGCAGCTTGAAAAAAAACTACCAAACTTTAGAAAATCGTGACTAAATCTATTAAATAATCTGTTCGATATGCAGCGAATTCAATTCATTGCAGCATTACAATTGTATTTTTTAAAAATGCTCCCATTTAGAAGAAATACCTCAAAGCAATCCCCCAATTATGTTTTTGTCGTTCTAAGGTGCCACCCATTTACTCTAGTTCAATAAATTACCACATTATTTCTTAACAATAAATATGAGCTTGTCTTCCCAGAATTCTTTTTAAGTGTGACATAGCTGGGTCACAGTCAATTCACCAAGTCTTGCCACTGTATGATTTTGACAAATAAGCTTTTGTTTAGTTTATAAGCCTCTTCTATGCGTTCAGACCACGAATCTCCGTGTTCACTTGGCGTCCCTAATTCCTCTCTTTAGACTGAAAGCGAGAATTTTCCAAAGTCCACACCCTTTTATTATAACACGATACACTATGACATTTGAGGCACAATCGCAGTCTTAGTTACGAAAAGCAAGACGGCCCAAAAATGTGACTGTAGTTCTGTGCTCGCATTCGTAAAAGCGCTAGGCTCTTCGCTGACCATTCACTACGTCCTATACCAAGTGCCGTATGTGGCTTCGGTCCTTCTTTGTCGCACAATAGGTTCGGCTTTGATGGTGACAGCGACCGAGAGAAAACGGGGCTCCACGAGGAAGTGGGCACAGGACCCGCAGTGCAACACGAACTTCCAGGAGGGCACGAGCGGCAGGGAGAGCGGACAGAATGCGAAGATGAGCCATAACTATCATGAGTGGCTTTGGAACCTGGTAACGAGTTGATCGAGCAGGCCATCGGTGGAACTGGGAAATATAGAGGAGAAGTTGGAGGGTAAAGCGCTTCGTGTGGATAATAAATGCCCGTATGATGATATGGTAAAGTTGCTCGCGGATTCTGTCTTTCTTGTTTTCGGTGTTTTGCCCGACGATTTTGAAACCAAACCTAAGAAAAAGAAAAGACAGAGAGCTAATGTTAGCCTGTTGATTCTGATTCTTCTGATTGGGTTGATTTATTACAAGATAATACTTTCCGCAAGCCGCGAAAAAGTAATAAAGTAGGACGGAGAAGCAGTGACGCTGCCGTAGCTGGAGCGCGTATTTGACAATGATCGCCAAAAGCGAGAGCGGATCTGTAGCTCGAACTTTCTTAGGTTTGTTTTGCTTAATTTCTAAGCAACGTATTGAACAAAATTTATTCAAGAATCCTAGATTTTGAATTACTATTCTGGAGAATTCATATAACTTTTCAATAACCTATGGCAATAATTTAGCGTGAAGTTAGCCAAGCACTTCGAATTCTGAAAAGAAAACCTTGATTAAAAAAATAGCAGGACTGAATTTGTTTTTGAGAAATCGGAGGGTCTATTTTCAGAAGAGGCCGTACAGAAAGGGAATGTCATAAGCCTCTGAAACAGCCATTAAAAAAACACTAGACCAACATACAACTTAGTCATTGTCGAGGTAATAAACTGCATAAAAAAGTTTAGTTGCAAAGGATATAAAAGGTACATAGAGTTAATGAGACACGTGTGAAAACAATGGCTTCAATTAGAAACGGTCAAGGTGAGCTGGTTGTATCATCTAAACTGCACAATAATGGGGATGTGAAAATGTTTTCTTCTAAAACAAGCTTTCCCAGCTCTATGGAATGAAATTAAATCTATACATAAAACACGACACTGTCACTGGCAGGGGGGTAAAAATTGGCAGCGTTGTAAAAGTTCATTCTGAAAGTTAAAGATGACAGTTAAAGTGATTTGATACCAATCTTGAGACTATTTTAGACGGACCATAACTAAGCTAAAAAAGGTTTTCGCACGCAGACACAAAATTTCAAATAGCATAAATATACCGTAGTTGTCGAAATCCAGAGCCTATCTTGCTAAATCAAGCATGATATCGATGTTCTAGAATCAAACATATTCGTTCATTACAATAGCTGATAGTCATAAATATTTCGAATTATTTCTCAGACATCTTAATCAAGACTCAACACAATAATTCCACGGCTAAGCTAAACTTGAAAATCAGGCTTAAAATGTCCTGGGCACAAAATCGCTTTCTCTTCCGAACTCGGAAGTAATTTTTTTACGAGTATGCACCAGATGCAGAAACGAGTAATATTTCCAAGTGTTGAAACATTTATGTCCCTGAATCTTTTTCCGCCACTCATTCCCATATTGCTCAGCGGCTAATAGATAGGAAGAAGTGAACGCTAATGTGAAAAGTGCTTATTTTTGGCACAGTAACTCGGTTGTTCTGTCTCGCAATCCAATCTTTAGTCCCGTCCTTGTCCTCACGCTTTTATTAAGGTTTTAGACCCTTGGGTGTCTCAACTCCGATCAAATCCAACAGTTTGTGCATTGAGAAATGCTGCTATTAATGTATTGCCTTTAATGATGCTCCGCTTTTACGCTCATGTTTTTTGCTGAATGAATCTGTAGAAAATATTACGTTTTATAAGTCTGGGCACAAAATCGCTTTCTCTTCCGAACTCGGAAGTAATGAATGAATCTGTAGAAAATATTACGTTTTATAAGCCTGGGCACTTGATGTTTACCATTGTCATTACTGAATGTACTAGCCTTCACTCACGGCTTTATACTACCAGTTACAACATCGCGTTTTGGTCCTTGTTATAATAATTACACTAACTTGCTGCGGGTGTTTTGGATCATTTCAATACCGCGAATATATCTTTTGTATCAGCCGTAAATTGTTTGCCACAACAAGACAAGAAATTTCACGCTCGTAATAGCTACTTAGAAAACTAAATCCAGCTTATTAGACGCCCGCTTGCGGACTAATGAAACAAATTTGCTCGCCCGCCGAGCTGTTGTTCAACAGAGAATACGCGGCTTGTCCACTTGAAATATTCATACCACGTGCGATATGGTGAAACATACATATCCAATAAACCTTTGTTGGTTAGGCTTTGAACTGATTTGTCAGGATAACGAAGTTTATCCGTTTACAAAGAAATAGGAAAAGACTACTGAATGGACAGCCCCGTAATTTAAGTAACCTATTACTTGGTCCAATGTGTAAAATGTGTTGAACTTCAATTATATTTTACAGATCACAGTTGTGATTGAAAAATGAAGCTAATACTCAAAATATTCGAGATTTGGACACCGTGAAAACTACAGAAGACAAAAGTTGTGTACGTTTGTGAAAAAACTAAAAATCAACAAAGATTAATTACATCTAACTCGAAATTAAATAAATAAGGAAAATATTTATAGCTTAGTTAGGTCATTTTGTTAACGATTGCTTCAGTTATATAAATACTAAATATGTTTTTTTTCTGAAGATAAACATTGGAACTGAGGGAAATTTTGCGAATGAACCTAGCTAGGATTCTGAGAAATTTAAAATTATTTTATATTACGAAAGATGTTTATATGGTGTTTTGGCCAAAATGCTACGGGGCGAAAAATTTGCCAAGTTTACACTTGGAAAAGCTCCAACCTGTCTGAAAGCGATGCTCGAGGCTTAAAGATATTCTTCGTAGAAATAACCTTTCATATAATTAAATAAAGATATCAGATTATCGAGCACATACTCCGATAATAATTAACGCGTGAAAATCATTGAAGATTGCATTATTCAGTTTTAAAATCCGAAGGAAACGTTGAAAGAGGAAGAAGCCTGATAATCTGCTGTTTGTGCCTTTTTTCTCGCCCCATCAACTTGATAAGTTTTAATAGATATAGTTAGCTTTGCCGTCTCACTTTTTTGGATAGATAACGGTTAGGTTTTTTTATCTCCTGTAACTCTATACAACGCCTTCCGCTTAAAAATTTACGAAAAAAGAAAAAAACAGGTTGGCTTTCGGGGACAACAAAGGGACCAGATGAAAGGAAGCAAAAAATAATGAAAATGATCCACTCTGATCTTAACTGGTGTTTGTTTAAAACCAGAGTTTTAACAATACCATACTTTTCAAATTTTGTTGTAGCTATCATCCTTTTTACTAACTGACTGTATGCACTGGATTTCAACTGAGACCAGAAATTATTGCCAGCTTTCAAAAGTTTATTTAATCCTCTTTAGCAGGTTTTCCTTTGTAATCCTCTTTACACCTAAAGAACAAGGCCATGTATCAAGCTCCTAGTAAGTGTTTTTGAATAACATTCGAATTAAGAGGCACCCTGGATAAGAGCCAACACTTATTGGTTTTAAATTATGTTAACCGAAGAGCAATGACAATGTTGTGGAACCTCAACCAAAACCTCAAAAAACGCTGGCAAAGTAATTAGGAATATTGGTTTGGCCCATGAGTGTTTTAGCACCAGTTTTAATTTAATTTAATTTTTACTGTCCGTCCGGTTCTTCATATCTAAATTTACCCTGTTTGTCAGTGCCAAAATTAAGAAATTAAAATTGTCATTTACGCTTTCACAAAACAAATGGCTCCCTTATTCATGTTGATACAAAAGGCACTTTTTGAATAATAAATGTGCCAAATTCTTCAAGTAAAGTAAACAAATTCCTTGACAATCTGCCTCTACTTTTAAGCAGAGAAATGCAATCTTTTGAGTTTTTGTTGAAGAAAATTCCTCTGAAATTTGGGGCAATTTTTTTCAGCTTTTTCCAAGTTGAACGCCATGTAACAAGCTACAAAGAGGACGTAAAATTTTGCGAGATATGTGATAAGTTTACTTTTCGTAATAAATTTCAACAGCTGCTAATTAAAGTCAATGTTCGCGCTAACAATTGCACGTGCATTAAGAACAGGTGTAACGTCTTATGCGCATGCGCCGAAACCTGACTCACAAGCCATCTACTGAAAACCACCGCGCAGGATTAACTCAAGTACGCGTTGTGGAATAAAATGCCAGAAAACGAAATATTTCTCACCCGGTATACATCAAGTATTAATAATTCCAAAAGCTTTTTGAATGACAGGATTCGTGTGGTTGGAATCTCGAGTGAGGAACCCGAAGTGCTTTGTGTCAAATTAATTAAGGCTAATGGCAAAAACAAAGATTGTTATTGACTATATTACCTCAAGCCAGGGGCGAAGGCTAGAGAACGTTTAGCTAAACTCACCCATTAATTGCCTTACCTGAACGCGAGCTTCATTCAAGTTGATTCCTTTCGCAAGCTGCTCTCTTGTGAATACATCGGGATATTGTGAGCGATTAAATGCCTCTTCGAGAGCATCTAGCTGCGCTTGAGTAAAGGTTGTACGGTGCCGTCTCTTAGTAATGCTTAGCTCTTCCGCCGTGGTCTCGGTTTCTTCAACTCTCTTTCTCTTCAAGGCACAACCTTTTGTTTGGACAACGAGAATCAACGATTATTTGGCAAAATATCCTGTACACTGAACGGGATAATTGTAAAAGGAAACTATGGGCGTAGTATGTTGACTAAAAGCAAAATGCTGCGGATATCTACCGGTGTGAAACTCACAATTAATTTATTTCTATTGTTTAAAAGGCTCTCTTGGTCCGCCAAACGTTTGTGTGAAGTTCTAAGAGCCAAGCCCGTCAGTTTTGGACAAATAAAAATGCGCTTTGCTACGGCCACAAGCAATGACTGTTGTACAAGAAAAACAGATTATATTTCTACCCTGATTTATTCAAGACGAGGAATTACTTTGTGAAATAAGTGCGAGTGTTACCTGAAACTTTTAGCGCACCTTCAGTGCTGGAATGATCCAGAAACAGTTTATAGCTTACCTCTAGACGAAGGGTCATTGACTTCGACTCCATCCTGCGCAGAAACAACCTTACGATCGTCTAACTCATCTCTGTTTCCGCGGCAGAATTCCTCCATCGCATTATTAAATTGAGAGATACTTCTTGACATAATTGCCCGACTTGACTCAACAGCTCTCAACAAACTGTTCCAGAGCGGTGTTAGCGCTTAATGTAAAAGAAACTGTCGAAATATAATTGCTTTGTAAAAACTATTTGCAATGCGATGAGCTTATCCACCAATCATTAGCCGTAGTTTAATTGTCTTGTTTTCTCTCTTGTCTCTGCGTGAAGCTGATTGGTGGAGAGCACTCATCAGTCGTAATTTAATTATATTCAATTGATAGTTACGAGCCTATTTTCTCCGTTTAAACCCTACAGCGTTGTTTGAATAACGTTTTAACAAAGGCTATTAACATGCAACCGTCTGCAAAGAAAAACACCACACTTTCTCCCCGGGTGATTCAACAGTCTCCTCAGATCCACTAATCAAATTACCGTCAAACAAAGAAACTCTGGTCTCATGGGGACAGAAATGTCTTAACAAGCACTTGGACTCTTTTGAAACATGAACAGAGAAAAACTAGGAGAAATTCAAATACGACGGATATTAAATGTTTATTCTCACACAATTAGGAGTTTTTTTTGTGAATTAGTGAGATTTGAGCAAAGCAAATTGCCAGGTACTCGAAGATAAATCGAGAACGCTAAAGATAAATTAGCGCGTTTCTTCTTGGGGAGATAAGATTGTAAATTATCTCCAACGCTGTGCACGAAACGCCGTTCAAAGAAGAAAATAACCAATTTGCATACATTATCTCCTGTAAAAATTCAATTAACTGTTTTTTTTCCTTCCCGTGACTGCGATGTTACAGAGCTCGGGTGCATTCTTTGACTTGATACTCCAGGAAGAACTTTAGCAACTGCTCCAGGAATTTCGAAAGGGCGCTTCAAAACAGGGAAACCGGAAAATGTCTTCCAGGGAAACAAAATCGAGAAATTTCACTTTTAAAATGAAATTCACACATGAAAAGACGTCTTATAAATATTAATCACGAGTCGCCCACCCGTACAGGGCTCATTGCTTAGCAAAATTAAGTCAAATTGTTAATCCAATAGGGCCTTCTAAAAAATGGCGATTTCCCTCCCCTTTTCAAAACGTGGTGAACGCCAGATGTTTTACGTAAGAGTACAGCACTTTTGAAGAAAAAACCTAAGTTAGTGGTTCATAATTTAAACGCATGCTGAGTAGTTATTTATTTTCTTTATTTAATACTGTCAATTGTCAAAAAAGATTTAAGTCAATTACGAAAAAGAAACATTTTTAATTTCAAAAAGCGCGGCAGTTCGAGCACGTAAAAGGAAAACAGACAGATGAAACGAAAAAAAGGTACAGATGTATCGCTTTTTATGTTCGTTCAGTAGTTACGTTTTAGCTCAGTGCATTAAAGAAAAATTGCATTGTTCTGCGTATCCGTCGCAACTGAGTCATGGAGGGAAAAATTTTAATGAAAAAAATAGTTATGTTAAAGTAATTTGTGGAATAATAAGACGACAAATAGCCTGTTTACAGCGTCGTTTTTAGACGTTGAAAAGCATTTTACGCTCGACTTTAGTGAGTGCCACTAAAGAAAACTATACAAACGAAACTATAATTGGCTTTAAATAAGCAGTCCTTGAAAATCGTCCAGTTTGATGCTTAATTACGGATTTTAATGTTTAATGACATGGAGATAATTAATTTGAGCGAGGCTTGCCGAATTGAATGACAGCTGAATGAAAACAATTTATTTCGTTAAAGTTGGAGAAAAAAATTCAACAAATCATAAGCTTGCAATGGATAGGAAAAATGTCGGTTTAATAACCAAAAAATAAAGAAATGTTGTTTCAACCCAGAGACATTAACCTGATGTATGAGTGACGTTATCTTCCAAATCTAAGCATTCAATTCTCAAGATGAAGGCAAACTGCCATCAAAACAACCTTCTTTAGTTATTAATTTTGCGTTTTTTAGATAATGGTTTTCCAAGCGCCAAAAAAAGAACTTAATGGGTTCCCATATACCGCCATTTTAGCTAAATCAAGGTAGTAAAGTTTTGAGCTGATACGAGTTTTACAGCGTCTAGTAAGTCTCAATAAACACAAAATTTACGCGGAATATAATCAAGGCGCCGAGAAAATTTAAGCCTCTGTTGTCTACAAATTCAGACCAGTCGCTAACTTCTTTTCCTCGATAAGTAATTTTACAAACAGCAAATAACTTTTATAAATTAAATTTATTCAGCTAAATTTTTATACAAATTCTTAATTAACAGTTATTTATATTTCAAAGATAAAAGAGACTTCTAAGGTCATTTATTTATATAAGCTGAGAAAACATTGACATAAGAATTAAAATTACTGATTGAACGTTAAAATGATTGACTAAAGTTAAACCTTCTAATAAACTACCTTAAAACGAATCTTTTTTTTTGCTTTTTCAGGCACAAAACTTTTTAAGACTGGGGGACTTTAAAACTATTTTGATATTTCAAATTATAACATGAACGAACAAATTATAAATTAAAATTGCTTAGCATTTAATCAATCCAGGAAGATTGAAGATGACGGTTCGACAAAAATAAACGTAAAATATCCAAATGGGATTATTTTTTTGAGCGCGGTTAAATTTAATTTCACTCAGTCGTTAACATATCTGAAATATCATTTTTCCTTATTTTCGGAAGCTAATTGAAAAACAATTTTGACTCCAGATCATTGTTTGTCTTAAAAGTCATGTGGATAAAACATTGAATGAAATTGTCATGTTACTTACTGATAGTTTTTGAGGTGTTTGTAAACTGGGATAACCTTTTAATTCAATGAGGGTGGCCCGAGCGGAATTCAAGAAAATTCCAGGCTTCTTGCTCTAAAAAGATGTAAAACAAATCGCGCACCGTGCAAAAGTTTCATGTGAATGGTTACATAAATTACACCAAACCATAAGCCTACGCCTAATAGACTTCCAATTGCCTTTTTTGTTTTCCATATCATCGCTAACTTCGGCTATTTCCTACATACACCAACATCACTTCAAGAACGTTATCGCATTCATTCAGGCAGGGAGTTATTTTTGAGACAATACCTTTACCGTAAAAATTAATAGTGGACAAAAGATAACGACTACCTGTTCCGTAGCCGTAATTTCTGCTGGGAAAATTTAAATAAAGGAAAGGCTAATCAAGAACGCGATGATGCAATTGTTTTGTTTTGTTTTGTGTTTTATTACTTTCAAAGGCTTTGAAATGTAGTACTGACTATACGCAGTATTTCATGACCGTGTTGCCTTCAAGAAAATTACTGAGACGCATGCTGCTAGCCGTTTTGGCTTCTTCAAATTGAAGAGCTTGGCTTGGCTGAAAGTGGCACGGTACCTGCTAAGCTCTCCACGCTAAGATTTTAAATTCTACTAGCCTCAAAGCAATTATTTCACTGTTTCTAAGTATCTTAAAATTGCAAGATAAGTTCGGTAAACGCATTTGAAAACAACTAAAGCTGGGAGGTTTGACTGGCATTACGCTGTTCCTAAGATAACAAAAGTTTTGTTCTGTATATTGCAGTCCACGAGCAGTCGTTATGCGGGGGCAGGGTTAATAGCTTAGCTCATATAGGTAGAGCGCCTCGCGGGGCCTGAGGGCAATACTCCGTTGCTACCTTTGCCGTGCGACGCCGTGCAAAGGGCTTGATCTTCGCGTGGCTCCAACAACCAGAGGAGAAATGCGCGCGGTCCCGTCTCCTGTAGGCCGAGATGTAAAACTCAGCTATGTCCTCATTAACGAGCAGTAATTTCATGTTAAACGCATTGATTTACATTTAAATAAAAGTAGTTTTTTCACATTTCGTCACTCCAATTTTTTATATTTTTCAAAGCCTTTTGGGTCAAATTGTGGCCTGAAACGAAGAGGCAGGATGGACGTTACATAGTTCTAAAATTTGAATAAAAGATTGTCCCATTCGTGTGTCAAACAGTTTAGAACAATCAATTCGAGAAGAGCTTATAACCAGTGTCTTGTTTTAAAGAGCCCATAAAATGTTAGCTTAATTGGTCACCGTCTTGTCCAGTGAGATAAGTGATATTTTGTTTCGCAAAAATTGTCTGCCAGCTTCGATGCACAGGCACTTGTTTTGTTTTTTAACCAGTGCAATAATTTAAGTAATCGGCTCACGCACGAAAGTAAACGTAACGGACCTAGAAATTCCTCAGTTGAGGATAGTATAATTTCGTATAAATAAAGTGGTCTTTCGTAACTAAAGAAAACACGTTGACTGAGGAAGTTTACAATAAAACGCCATTTAATCCCGGGATGTGACCTGCTTCCCTTTTCATGTTTAAATTAACTACAACCATTGTTCCTGCATTCATTGCTTCGTTTTCCTCACTAAAACTCAGTTCTTCAGAGGAATTCAGGATTTCGAATTTGTAGACTAAAAACTCTAAATATCCTTACAGAAATATCCTTATTTACCATTCATTAAGTCGAAAGTTCCATTTACTAGTTTAACATCATGAATTCTGCATAGTACAAAGTCATTATTCTTTTAGAAAAGAGAACGTAATTAGCTTTTCCCGGTCATTAATAAGTCTAAAACAATTCCATCATTACTCCTGAACATCGCTAAGCGACTTTTATAAAGGTAAACTTCATAGCTGTTCATAACCCAAACCCCTCTGTAAAAAGGCTACATTCATTTGCAATTATCCTATAAATACGAATTCAAAATTCCGATTCGTACATTTTGCTAAACTTTTGAAGTGCTTCCAGGCTGTTGTTTGTTCTTCTATGTGCAGATAGATAAATAAAATTGGCAACCTTGCGTGTTTCCAAGGAAAAGAAAAGTTCTGCAGCTAGTATGCATTCTTGCCTTTAGTTCGCATTGTTATCTGTTCACATCGCTTATCTTTCAATTTCAATAAGAATAGGAAATGAGCTCAGTGCAGTTCAAACGAGACACAATTATAGAAGACCCAAACGAAGTATAAAACTAAAAGCTGCAAATTGGCAACCAGTTCATTTTTATTGTATTTGGTATTGGATCATAATCATTTGAACTAATATCCCCATAGATTAAGCAGGCTCCACAAAATTTCCCATTAGAATATTTTTCCCACCATGTTATTAACCGGCTTGCACAATGATGTCAACGGTTTAGCTCATTAGGTGTTTATTTTATATCTGTTAAAATATTATCCGTACATTTTACAAGGCCTATACCAATATTTGAATGTTTAAGCCCGTTTTGACGCATGAAAAAATAATAATGACAACGCACAAAAACGAATTGCTCACTTCGTAGACTAAACTTTGCTTATGAACAAAAACAACCTGGTAAGACAACATTGTATGCTTTTGTATACGTCACTAGTGTAGACATGAGGCATGTCAAAACTTCAAATAAACTGACTCGACATGTTGTACCTATGAATCGACTGTACGAAGATTTCTTTTCAATTTGCCAAAATAAGCTTACAAGGTTTTACAGTTATTAAGACAGCTTTTAACTGTAACTTTCATTACAAATCTATTTCGTAGAAACTTTGCGGTAGGGAATCCTGAAGTGTTATACTTACAGGATGTGATTGCTATACTGATGGCGATCCAACGGGAGTTTGCCGGAGTGCAACTATCAGTGGGTTCGCCAACTGATATCAGAAAGGTCTCAACTAAACTGGTTGCCAGACTAGCCAAGATGCTTTTTACAAGCCTGAATTGTAGCCCGTAGTGTGCGACTCGAGGAGAACACTGTAAATCAGGCTAAATCATTTTTTATGCTTAATGACAAATGTGGTCTTGGAAGGGTACTTCTGGGTATTGCTCTCCGAAAAAAATTTAAAGATTAAAAAAAAGCGTCTAGAAATTCACGATAAGATCGTTTTTTTTCTAGTAGGAGTAACTCGGTAATTGACTGGCATATGTCGACCTTAAATCTAATAATGGATTAGAAGGTAAATAACGCGGCTCAATCATGCCATTTACCCGAATCGTGAGTGGAAGAAAACATAAATTGGCAAAAAGGGCCAAAAATGATTCAGATTTTTTGAAAAACTATAAACCAACAAACTTCGCTTCAACTGAGTCTTGTCGATATTACATGTACATTAACTATAATATATTGTTTAAGCGAAGGAAGATGAGAGCAGAATTTCCCATGGTGAAGAGGGCGGTTATTAAGCAACTCCACTGGTTTCATAATTGTCATTTAAATTTTTTTTCCTGATTGTAAAAGGTCCTTAATTAGAATGATAGCACCATGTTGTAAAAGGGTGGCGAATAATAAGATAAATGATGACGGCTGATGATACGCTACAAAAATAATCACCTTGCTTTTTTAGATAAACACAAGGGAGGAAAGAATTGTAAATATTTTACACATCCACACTATACCAGTCTTCAAAGTAACTATTGTAGATTCCACGTCCTTAATCTTAGTGAGATTTGCCCTGTAGCCGCAATCTGCAGTTAAGTCACAGACTAAGCACAATCATGTTATGCTCACTGCTATTTCAAATTAATGTTTGCTTATAAGCAGATTTCATACCATATTTATCAGCATATCCTTTTGAAGGCCTTCTATACGGGGTAGTGTCCCTTTCTAGCACAGGTTACTTTCAAAAGATACTATATAAATACAATATATTTTTGGTGAATTATAAGTGTCGAATTGTTCCTAAGTAACATTTATGCTGTAACAAATTGGGCTAGAAAAGCGAAAAGAGAGTTTTAGGCACGTTTTAAAATAAGAAGGCAAAAATTAAGTTTAAACAAAGTATACAATGAGTAAAAGAACTCGATTGGTGAGTAATGAGATTTTTTCCAGACTCTCAATGCAATATAAACTTATCTTCTGCGATGAATAAAGCGCTTTAGAAGGAACATGAACGCTCTTTTTAAAATTTCACTTGCAAAAAAAATTGTTTTCCGACTACCTACACGTACACTAATGAAAACGTTAAAGAGATCGTGTAACCTTTTTACTCCTCGCAAACGTGCACAGAACAAGCAGTTGACATTCAATATGAGTCATCATGCAATTGAGTACAGATATATGACAATATTTCGCATGCATGCATTGTACAACCAGCAAGAACTGAATGCGCATACGGTTGTAATCGCCAGATTATGTTAAGGCTGTGTATTTAACCGGATCAGTTTTAAAGTTTTTGTCGCCAACAAAAGAAAAGTCCTCGTAAAAATTCATTCTCCTAGAAAGAAAGCCGAGAATGACAGGAAAGAGATACATGAAAAGAGCATTTTCTGGGGCTTGGTGCGGAACCACTGACGGGTACCTAGACAATGGTTTAAAATTTTACACTACATTGTAATCCACTATGAGCGATATTTCATTTCTAGTCGAGTTTTGTTTTTACTTACAATGTACGCTTCACACATAGGCAATGTTATAATGAAATAGTTGCAAAAGTAGCGATCCTCTTCATACAATAGCCTTAAAAATTGATGCAAGCTAAAGGATCTAGCAAGGAACAACGCCCGGCGCAAAATGTAACGATACCCCTGATAACAGCGACTCCAGAGTTGATTCTTTTGCTATGCTTATGTACCTCCAATTCTCCAGTGCAGCATATTAAGGTGGGAAGAAAGGGTTCCTATAGACGTCTTGAGGCGGTTAAATGTAGTTGTTTTTGACGTCAGTGTTCTTCCTACTTTGGACAGACACACGCATACTCATGTATGGCTTGGTTTAACCAATTTTATCCTTAGTTTACAAGTCTTCCTTTCTTTGAAACTCAATATTATACGCTACTTTTGCTGCCATAAAAACGGGCAATTGAATTACAACAAATGACAACATTGAGCCAGGCCATTTACAAGCGGAACAGGAAACTTTCACTGCAGCCCAAAGCACAAGGAAGACATGAACATACAATTCGTAAATGGCACGACAAAGGTTTAAGCATTTAATGGCTAAATCCTTGTTTTGTTTTCGCCATCAGCCTTGTTTGTTACATGTAAATAGCGTTACCAATATATATATATATTTTTTCAAATAACTCTGCCCTTGCAGTCAATACGGATCGACCATTGCGGAGAGCACGCACAGCTAAGCATTCCAGTCCAACTTGACCTGGTTTAAAATCAAGGCGAGTTAAACCCTGCCCGTCCACGTTTGGTATGTCCAGATAAGCAAACAGGGGCAAGAACGTTAATTTTCTATAGCCCTTACGAATGTTGAGAGAACCTTTGGTAGACATAGGCAGATGTAAAAATGGCTGAAGTTTTAATCGTGTATTTCCTTATCATTCGCCAACCATTCTTGCTCTTGGAATATGACGATATGTTTAAGTCTTTTTTTAGTCATAAGTGACAACTTCGTTTGGCAACTTTGTAAATTGTCAGTGTCTAAAAGATGGGGTTTTCCTCTCTGATAAAGAAAGCCTTCTTAAAACTATAGTCTACAGAAAATGTGAACATCCCTACTTTACAGGTTGATTTCTCTTGATTTTCTCCACGCTCCTGTAACAGTCATCAACAGCTGTACCTTGATTCGGTAGTCAGTCCACTCTTAAACTTCGGAACTTGAGCCGGTTATCAGAGCTTTGCGTTATTGAGGACGAAATCGCTTTTCGTTCACCGCAAACATTACCACTGCAGCCCCAAGGCCAATGATGTAACCCACAATTGCTCCTATCGCACAGGGAATAGGCCAGACCTACAAAAATAAATGCACGCTCTCTTGTGTACGGTTCTATTACTCCCACCTGTAAAACACTAACACTCTCCACTTCCTTCCCCAGGACAAAGAGTTAAAGGAACTATATGTCACGCAATATGCCATCTTTCAAAAAAGTTAAAACTTGTCTCCGTATCTACAGCTGTTCATTAAAAAAACGTTTTTGGTCGTCTGCTCCAACGGATGACGAGGACGGAAATGAATTGAGACTTAAGAAAGTTGGGTCACCTTTTTCAATTTTGAATGCTGCGCCTGCAGAAATCACCAAAAAAGAGTTATTATAGTTATTGCTCCCTGATCAAATTTGTTCAATATGCTCTTCATAACTCTACTAAAGCATTTTGTAGACAGTGTGGGTAAAGGTACTAGGTTAATTGAATTGACTTAAAACAGCAATAATATCCTCGCGACATTGCGCCCTTAACCCTATAAATTTAGTCATTAAATCCAGGATGTCTCCGTATATAGAACCCAATTTCACCAAAATGACTAGAGGCCTGCTGGGGGAGTTGAATCCCTGTTACTCTGAGCTAAAGTTAAATGTAGATATGTATAAATTGTCTTTCAGATCTTCCATTTTTCATACTGATTTTCTTTCAAAGAATATTTACAATTCTACTTCATGTTGAACGTTTAACCATCGCTATTGTGATACATTTGTATCAGCATGCACTTTCTCCATACCGTTTTTCGCACATTTCCTATGATACTGATGAGGAGAACTTGATGAACAATCAACACCTTTTTAACTTTATCATTCCCTTCAATCTCGTTACCGTCATGTTTGATTAAAAGTTATATTCTAAGGAGAAATTGGAAGCTGAACTCTCTTAGAGGTTAAAAAGAAAATAATATCATTCAGAATGTCTTTTTTTGTCGGCTGTCTAGTTCATTTTGTTTGTAATGCCGATGACACATCCTTATTCGTTAAGGAAATCAGGAGACTACAGTAACTGCAGGAATGACAAAATCATAGCTGGGTGTCAAAGAAATATGTCTCTTAAGCATAAACCGTTAGGCTACATTTTTCAAACAACTTAAAAATAAATCTATTTAATTCCGATTCAATCTTCCTCAAGTTTGTCTACCTGTACCTCCTATTGTATTTGCTGAGATATTTATATCTTAACATTTTGAATGGTCATTTTTATGTTTCACTTAATTTGGTGCCAGTTGCCACTGTTTGAATTTTGATACATTTTGTGACACAGCTCCTTGAAGGACACAGTGCACGCCAAGAAATACCTTCAAAAAATACTGTTTTAAATGCTGTTTTAAATACTGTTTTAAATGCATGTATTGTGTATTGCAAGATATCAAGATTGTACCCCGTCCCCTCCCAGCCTTACCTGCCAGGGTCGGTCCCAGTCCAAAGGGATTGGAAAAGCCCCAAGCCATGCCCCTATCAGAGTACATAGGATTGAACATTGGAAATAAGCTTCTGGAGCTGCATCTGACCTACAAAACATAGAAAGAATTTCTAACTGGAGTTTTCTTTTATTTCACCTAAAATTTTAACCTTACAAGGTTAAACCTTGCATGACCTCTAACCTTCTTGTTCTCGAGCTTCTTTACTTTGTATTCTTGTTCTTTATGGAGAACTGATACCATCGCCTTTTCTAAATCAAATAAGCCCCCTCTCTCAAATAAGTCCCTCATCTCTATTAAGCCCCCCCTCAAATGGGCTTGAAAATAAGCCCCCTGAGGAACTTCATAGAGGATTTATCATATGCAAAAAAGAACAAGTTCTTGACCTCATACTTGGTCAGATCAATAATTCATTTATACATGTATAACTAACTGATGATTACATTCATGTGAAGCTTGTTGTTTTGTGACAACAGAGTATTTCTCAGTGAACCACAACTGCATTTACAACTGTTTAGACCATTATTTGAACAGTGAATGGAATAAAGCCCTATCAAAGTGATGATCCTCATCAAATGAAAAAATTCTTTGTTTGATTCACAATATCTGGCAAATAAGAAGGGTAATCTAACATAAGCCTTGAGAGCTTTATTCCTATTTCATTTCTAACTCTTTAGTCTTGTCTCAATTCCCTCATTTTCATACTTCCAACTTTTGCGCTCACACAGTTATGGTTGTAATTGGAACAGCTTACAAAACTCAAGGGAAGAAAAGAACTGCTATTTAACATCGAATCATTGCTTCATTGTTTACTTGACAAATATGTAAGGGAAAAGTGACGTACGGATTTCACACATTTTACCACCAAATTTTTTGAAAACTTGTCAACTCACCACATGCTGAAAAATATTCTTGGTACAAGTTCTAACTGAATTCCTAACAGGCTGCAGGCTGGGAGTGACACCAGATGAGACATTAATAACGCCCAGCAAAATGTTTCCTCACTCTGCCTGTTATCAAGAAATATATGAAAATATTTGATTTACAATACAATTTAAAGTGGCACCATGATATTTACAAAAATTTGGTTTTTCAAATTAGTTAACAAAGTACAATGTACATGTAGAATGGCTGCCATCGGGGGAATGAGAAGCTGATGATTCTCAAGCACAAACCCTCGTTAGAGTGAATAACATGTAATCAGAGCAACTCTAACCCCTTCATTCACCATGAGATTTACACATACATTTCCTTTCTATACTGGGTATGATCACCTATCAGCCTTGGCTTACATACATGTAGTAACAAAGTCATAACAAAAAGGACAGGATGGTACTTATTTTGTAAATTTACTTTAGTGAAATCTCGTTTATACCCCAAGTTCCTAATAATTAATAATTGATGCTTTCCTGGCTAAATAACAAGCATAGACACAGAACAGATGGCTATCTCAACCTTATGTTTGAAATACATACTCAGAGACTGGTGCTCCAAATAGGATAGCGATGACATGAAAAACAGCAGCTAATCCAAAAACAACAAAAACAAGCTTGAGAAGCTGGAACACCTGGCAAAAAACATAAGGATTGTGGACTATTTCATTATATATTGTGTTATATCAGGTTTGGTCTTTAATTCTTAGGGTTTTTACTGTATCATCCCAAAGCTGTGTTGTCAAAAGGGGAAGCATCAACATTTGATGACATCATGACTGTTTGACACCCAACTGTCGTCAACTATTATTGATTTAATCATACACTTTAAACATGATAGTCGACAATGACTTTTTCTCGTTTGGCACCCTTGAGAAAGTCATTGATAGTTTTTTGTTCAGCTGTTTCTTTTCTTACTCAATGTGCTCAACAACTTTTGCATGTAAAATGACAGAAAAAGCAGCAGCATCTTCCTCGTCGTTCCTCTCTTCAAGGTATGTTCCTCATTATGCAGTAAATCAACAAAAATTAATAAACAAATAAAGAAGCCTTGACTGTGCTCTGTTCTGTTGTAAAGCACACAAGAAGCTGCTAGAAAGCGGCACGGAAGAATGGTATAGTATTATGACATTTGCTTACATCGCACGTGCCTTGAACTTAGGGACTAGAACTTGTGAGAGCAAACACACAATCTCTGGTTTTGACTATATGTTTCATGAATATTTGCACGCCAAACAGCTGTATCATGACCGTTTGGCTACAGGGGATGATAGTAAGTGACAGAGGATGATAGTTGAAACTATCATTGACTATCATCAACTATCATGGCCCAGGATTTTAACAGAAAAATTTCACAATTACTACAGAGGTGATTAAATTCAAGGCAGCTTAGTAAAACAACATGCAAAGTATATTCCGTAATTTACCTCAGTCTTGAGGAATGCAGGATGTTACAGGTTGTTACTTTTGATAGTCGATTGAAAATGATCTTTCTCTATAAAATGTCGATACTAATCAATCAACAGATATCTGAAATTGATAAAAGTTGATCATAAAATTTCATGTGATCATCGATTTCTATTGAAATTGGTGTTAAAGTTCGATGTTTATCCGAAAACTATTGGTAGGTAAAAAGGGTCAGAAGCAACAGTTTCAATATCCATTGGGAAATTAATTATTGAACATCTGTACGAAACATACGTTTTGAGCCATATTAAATCGGACGAAGGAATTTTTTGGAAGTCTACATGAGCTTTTGCAACATTCGTTCGAACAGTTTTTATTTCCGCTTGTGGGTTTGTGAACGAGTAGCATCTGTCTGCGTTCGAATCCTTCTCCATACGCGGCATTCGTAAAAAGTTCGCGTAAATCCTCAACATGAAACAGATAGTCTCTACGTCTCAGAAGTCGATCGAAATTGATTACCTGTCCCGAGATCATTGTGATTATCGACTTTTATCGACAAACATAACTAATCAATCGACAATTACTGACAAATATCGAGCACTATCCACTTATCGACTAGCTTTCCCATGATCGATTTCGATCGCCATGTAACTTCTGAGAATGTCACATGCATTTATCTACTGCTGTAGCGCAGTTCAATACGTAATTAGCGTTAGTATTGAAGTGAATTTTCCCCGAGAAATTTTTACTTCTACAAAGAAAACGCAGTTTAACACAGAAACAAGAAGGTCTAAATCAAAGCAACTCACCGTAAATTTCACCTTGGATTTAAAACGCAGAAGAGTGAAACTCAACAGCGAAAAAACCAAACAAAATATTCTCAATGAGCGCGCTGTGTTAGAAATCAACGAGACGCGTGGTAAAGTATAGTTTGAGACTGCGACAGCCGTCCAAGCTGACGCGACCTGCAATAAACTTATTGTGAAAATATCCTTTGAGCTATATTGAAGGTGTAGGTACCCCTGCACAGCCGCCATGTTGGTTTTCAGAGGCGCGGTTACAAAGATACAAAGACTTTACGTCATCTAACAGTAACAGGGTATACACGTTTAACCAGCCATGGGAAAAAATAGACCCCTTCGGCTTATATATTTGTTTTCCCAAAGAAGGTAATGTAATGTAGTGTCTTGGATTAGAGGACAGAGTTAACAGTGGCAGTAGGTTCGGACGTCAGCATACAGGACGCCACTGGCAGCCGCTATCAGTCCATTTATGAGCTTAATGAATGATGTCCGATGTGTGTGAAAATACCCGGCTACAAAACTCTTTCTTTCACATTTCGTCTTATTCACGTGCATATGTACGCATCAGTTATTGGGAAATTTCACCTTTTGTCTAAAAGTTGAAGAAGTCTATATTTTTGGCTTCTACAGTATGGCTAATTTTCGAATCTCCCTAGCCTGCGAGCAAGCTCTCCTATTTGGGCAAGCGAAGCGAGCCTCGCGAGAACGCGCGTTTCACTCGCCCAAATAGGAGAGCTTGCTCGCAGGCTAGAATCTCCCATTTTAATGCATCCGGTTTCTATTGTTTTCATTTTCAATAAGAGGAAGAGCAGTTCACCAACTGAGGTCTACTCAGGGGCGGACCATTAGCAAAGTTATAGGGGGAGAGGGGAATTTTCGAGCCGCAGGAATTTTTTTTCGTTATCAAATTCCTTGTATGAATTTTTTTAGGCCATAGCATGAATATTTCGCAGGGTTAATTGGCGTGCATAAATTTTTTTCGTTTAATTTTCCCTTGGGCGAATATATTTTTTGTACTTCGCCCGCACCACCCCCTCCCCAATAAGTTTTCTAATGGTCGGTCCCTTAGCGGGGGTTGTTTAGTCCCTAGCTCGTGCCCAGACCCCCAGTAGGCAACACCACAGGGGTTACGCATGTTCCTGTTCAGAATCCCACTGTCGTTTTGCCTATTGGCCGTTTTTATACTAAGGACGCATTATCCGTCTGGACGAACTTGGGCAAACATTTTGTTGTTCGTCTGGGTTATGCGTCTCTTTGTATAAAGACAGGCACAAGACGCATTATACGCCCAGACGAACTACCTTTCGTGGTACGTTGTTCAAGACGTATTTAGAGGGAAAGTTCGTCCAGACGCATAATGCGTCTTGTGCCCGTCTTTATACTTGACACGCATAACCAGACGAACTACAAATGTTGCCCAAGTTAGTCCAGTCGGATAATGCGTCCTCAGTATAAAAACAGCCAAAGACGCATTATCCGTCTGGACGGCTGATGCGTCCAGTCCAGTATAAGAACAGCCATTGAGGAGGAGGCTATGTCGCTGTCGGCATTTTACTGATGCATTTGCGCTTTTTTCGTTTCTTTCGCAGTTTCAACTCATCTTTGAGTCGTTTCTCGCCATTTCATTTGTTTTATGTCGCTGTTTCAACTGTCATTTCACTTGTCATTTTACCCGAACAAAGCCTCACTAAGGTGTACAAGATAATACTGGACCCACTGGTCTTTTCAGTTCAGTGGTTACAAATTTGACCGGCTGTTTCTAAAACAAATGGAAAGATGCATTAAATAGGATAATACCCTAGGCCCCCTTGCCTTTTTTTCAAAAAGATCATGACCGAGCGCGCAGCAAATTTATAAAAAATATATGGATTAAGAAAAGTAGGAAATAGGAGATGACTGGCTTAGAGATACGTGCTTTGTTCGTGTCGGCTGCATTGACAAACTTCAAGTGGTTCTGCGAATATTTTAATGTTAAAAGAACACTTCGTGTGGTTTTGCATGCCTCTGCATTTAACGGGCTTGTTGACTTATTTCAATAGCTTTCCTAATATTATGCTCTGGAAACGAACCAATTTCGTTTCACTGCAGTATATAACTTCATTTTGGATTTGAAACTGTTTCAGTGCAAATTGAAAGGGAAAATATGAAAACTGATTTAGTTGCGATATATTGGAAAGCCTCAACCAAAAAAAAATTAGGCTTAATCGGAAGAGGTGATGGGTTCGAATCCCGAAAAGACGGACATTCAGTCTTAGCTTCAGGCTTTTTTTTTTCGCAGCTGTTTAGTCTGTTTATTTTTGCATAGTACGTAACTGCCATATATGATCTCAGTTTCACCTCGTGTTTAGTCGAACTCAGCTCAAAAGAAATGATAAAAGACTCTGAAGAAATGTCTGCCTCACTGAAACAACAGATTAGCGTATTCAGTCGCCTTGTCCATTGAATTAACAGTCTCTTGATTAACACAGTCGCCACTATGACTTAATCATACTCCTGCCGTGTGAAAAGGAACGCCAAGATTAGAGATATTACTATCCGTAACAATTAAAAATAGAGATGAATAAATATTCTGAATGCCAGTATGAGCTTTGAGAGATAAATAACCTGACTGCGGAAAAATAACACCCGTGAATTAGTTGCGCAGTTTCGGAGCTGTGTGCAGCTGGCCGAGAAACGTCACGAAAAATAGCAAATTATGCTAAATGTCATACTCTAAACGTCCTGAATGGAAGCTTCAATTTGTTGCCGTGTCTAAATTAGAAGAGCTTTTATTGACATTTATCTCCGATTCGTCACAAAACGAAATAATACTTTAAGCCCTTGGAACGTAATGAATGCTTAAAGAATAAAATAAAATTAAGAGTAATATAAAACGCTTTAAATATTTTTTTACGGAAAAGAAAAAAAAATCATATATGTCTTATTGGACTTGTACGTAAGAGGTAATGGTATATTTCCTGTCACCAGACATGCAGACTAAGTAAATATTAAGATGTCAGTTAGGATTTAAAGAAAGGTTTTATTAATTTCAATACTCTTGGCCATCAATATTCTCCAAAGTGATTGTGTTTAACTACCTTTAAAGAAAGGATGGGATTCAAGGACAGTTTTCTGATGCCAAAAATTCTACGATATACCGCTCTATTTTTGTACATTTTACTACACTTTGACACAGCAACAGGTAACTGTTTTAGTTCTATATAGAAAATACCTAAAGTTTGCTCTTTAATTCAAGGCGGAAGGCCAAGGAACTAGTCTCTTTCCTCTGCTAGAGTCAGGTAAAAACCAAGGTTTCAGTGTTCAGAACCGACCTCAGTTTATTTTTTAACTTGGTCCGATTGGTCATTTGATGCTCGCGAGTTTATCTCAAGAGTTTCCCATTGCATTAACTACATATTTTTTCTTCAACCACAATGTTATAGCAAAAAAATTAATATTTTTGGATTGATTATTTGGAATTCAAATTACTCGAATGTTTGAATATTACAATCTGTGACATCTTGCCTACCCCTTATTGTCGTCAATATGTCATGTCGAGGGCAGACAATCCCGTCGGCTTCTGCGACCGAAAGGCTTTCAAAAATAATGCAGCAATGTTATGAAATCGTTTTAACGCTCAGAGATCACTCTAACAAATATCTCTGTCAACCGTGATAAAATTTCTTAATTGAACAGACATTCAAAGGGCTGACCCAAGGTTTGGGACAGTTACATGGAACTTTTCGGGTCGGGATTCTAATTTTGAACAGAGCAGCGGATCCTACCTCACAAAAGCCAGTGCAATTTGTTCCATTAACTAACGGTTTTATTGTTATGGTTTTGGTTTCTAAACAAATACAGCCTCGATTTTCAATTTCAACTCGGAAAACGCAGTAAAAAAAGCTTAGGTATGATTAGGTAGGTGCTCGCGGGTCATTACCAAGTTTCTCGAGAAACTGGCCAGGATCGGTTAACCGAACCCATATTTGTAGTCGCAAAGGTGATAAAATCCTTACCAAAACGTTTTCAGTTGAATGCCGCAAAGAAAAGTCGAGGAAGCAAATTTTGCGTCCCCAAAGCAACTGACATGCAGTTAAAAACATTCTTGCCCTCGGGGTGCAATTTTTGCGTCCACAAGTTAATTATTTTTCCGAATGTAGTTCGAGTATATTTGAACATAATAAATTAAATTTCCGCATATCCTTTGCCAACGCTGTAAGGATTGGCGAAGCCCACTACAAGGACACTAGGTCGTGACGTTTATTTTTTGGTTGGTTGTTTGTTTACAAGTAAAGGGTTTTTAAAATGAAGCAGGAGCCAGTTTTAATCAGCATTGTTTGCTTTTCATGGTTTAACTAATAAGGCATGTCTATTTATCTCGTATGCTCTGTTCTCACGGTTTGCTAATAATTAATCCTTGACTCTCAAAATTGACCCGTTAGGCGATGCGAGAAGTCCAATGAGATTCAAAGATCGGGATTTACTGAAATATTTACGTATAGCCATTGATGTTTGTTGAAGCTAAGTAGTATCAGGGAGGGGGGCGGGCAAAGCCGGTGTGACAGGGTGTTTTAGCCCCCCCCCCCCCCCCCCCCCCCCGCACACACTAACTATATGGTCCCCTCCCTGTCCAGAACAAAAAAACTACAAAAAAAAACAGTGCAAAGGCAGGGAGAGGGGGAGGGAATGTAGAACAAGACGACGAATAAAATGATATCACATAGAAGAAAATAAAGAACAAAAAAAAAA